GGGGTGGGGGGGGGGACTCGAGGTTATGCAGTAAACAACTACGCATGTGCGTACGCTGAATGTTAAATGAATTTGGCAGAAATGATGGATGCAGTTACGTAAATGTTTCGCCAAGGATGTGCTGCTAATATTTCAACACAAAGTTGCCCAAGAACAGGGGAAGAGACACGTGATGGCGCAATTCTGCACTCAAAAAGCATTACATTAAAGAAAATAACTTCCATTGCAAGATTCAAAATGTTCGTCTTACATCAGTCACACGCGAGGTGATTAGCATTTGCCGAGGCGAGTACTGAGTTTTATGTCGCGCTGGGAACTCCAGAAAGGTTGTCGAAAAGTCAGAGATTATTCGACTTGGAGGAAACCACTGACAGCTTCTCATCCACCTCTGATTTGTGTTAACTGCATTTTCATCATTCAAAAAAGTAGCTTCCAGCTCAATGAATGTGCTGGATTTTCTGCTCTCCAGACTGTCGACGTGTGTCCTGGAAAGCATAAGACATTACGAGAATCGCTGAACGTATTTTCATGAAATTTGGTATAGACGTTATGCCATTTGAGGATATTTCAAACTCGTCACTAATTCCAACGTGATGGATGTCAAGATTTCTGAGATGGGCGGGCGATGGTTACAGTCACCCTTTGCACCTGGTGAATTTTATTACCCGTAACGCCCACGATGACGTAATGGCGCCACAGACGCCGATGTGACGCTGAGGGTTCGGAAATGGAATTTTTTCTTACGCAAGAAAACGCGCAAGTGTATTAAACTGAGTGCCACGCCCGATCTGAGGGAATTTCTAATTTTTTTGCAATTTTTACAGCGACAACCCTTTCGTAAATTCTACAACTCCATTTGCATGCATTGATTTTAATTAAGGTAATGAGTGTCGCTAGTGTTTTATCTCAGCTGTGTCCTGGGAATCTGATTTAATTTTACAGGTTAGCAGCTTTTAAGTGACGCACGTCAATTGCCTACCACGAAACTGCGATTACATTTTTTGAGAGGTGGTCTTAGTATGTTGGTTATAAAATGGTACTGTACCAACTGCAGAAGTTACGTAGCTTGAAGTGAGGTAAGGGATGTGGAAGGACGCGGTTGGGTAGCGTTTGAATTTCCAATACGTACGCTGAGAAGCATTTCTTTGAGGCAATTTTAAAAGAGGATGGCGGACAGATTGAGAGTCTGAATAAGTTAATGACGTCACTAAACAGACTATCACGCATATACAGGGGGATTCTTAATCACTTATAATAACGCGATGACCGAGTTCCAGTCCCGAAGTGAAGCCAAGAAGTTCGTGTAAACACAGGAACACACCGCTCTTGGAATTCTTGGCGTCGCAGGCCTCAGTTAAGCGTTTTCATAAACTCTCGTAAACATTAGGACGCAATTCTTTTTTGTAGTGTAAGATGTAAATGCCCTTTTGAAATACAACGCTGTTTATTATATTCAACTTTCTAATGTTTCCCGTTCTCGCTAACGGCGTCTCAAATTGAAACAAAAATGCCTTCCTGCACTCTGAATGCTCAACTGAGACAAACGTTTGCACAAAATGGTTGCGACCATATATTCATTGAAATGTTGTATTTAATGTACGCAATGAAGAAGCATTCTGTACAATCAGTAAATTGTGCAACACTGTCCAGTTTTTCTCTTTGGAAGGCAGTGTTCAGAATCTGCACTTTGGGAGAAAAAAAATTAAGTTATTTTCATGGACTAATTGGTGTTTGTGATAATCGTGTGAACTTCAGCGCCGCCTAGTTCGTGGTCAAGCCGCGAGCATCACGCACGCCAGTCGCTTTACCCCTGAGGTATGCAACCTTCGTTGACATTCCACGTGGCTTACTAAATACAGAAGATAAGAGAGGAGAAGATCTCCAGCAGAGTTCAGTATCGTAATTCGATTAATAATTAGTGTCTGCTTTACCCCCTCACGAAATATACGTAGTTACACATTCAATTGTTGGGTTACGTGTGATACGGCACGTGATTCACGGAGACGAAGACTGATTGTTGACAGAGACAATTTTTGAGAGTGGCGGGGGTGGGAAACACAACGTTGTATTATATAGTTCGGTGTATTTTATTACGGTCAATAAAATTTCAAATTAATTTAAAAACATGAAGTGACATTTTTTGTTGAAAATGCATCAGAACCTTCCGTCTCTTCGTCCTCACTTTTAACTTTAACGTTGAAGAATGAAACGTTCCAATAGGCGCCTACCTTCTGCCTAGCGCGCTGGGAGCAACCCAAGGTCAAACAAAGCTGAGTGTAGGCTTCTTACGTCACAGTGACAACGTCATCGAAACGGCAGTGGACGGTTACCTGAAGCCTTGGCCGGGAGGGAAGGGCAGTGAGACGGGAAAACAAGCTGCGTGTAGCTGTGTGGTGGTTTCGTGTTTGTGCTCGCTTGGCGTCCCCCAGTTGACGTCAGTCCAGTGCTGTTCTGTCGGTGTGAAAGGTTTGTTGTTCGTTGCTCTCGTGGCGTTTTGTCTGGTGCTGTGGTTAAAGTATGCCCAAACACGTACTAAACAATACCGACAATAATGTCGAATTTATTGGTAACTTTCGACCTCCGGAAAGAAGTACAAGGGAGAAGATAAAGTTGCTGCTGTACAATCGTGAAACAGGCGCCGTTTTAGGAAGAACGGGGACGAGCTGGGGTAAGAATTCTCAACATCTGCTCTCCTAATCCACGATGTGTTAGATCTCGGCATGTGTTTTGTTCGTGTGTCTCATAAAATAATGATTGTGAGAAAGAACGTGCTTCACAACTTACGTTTACGTCAAACAAAAACTTACGTGAGTTGGCAGAACTGAAACTGAATTTTAAGCTGTACAGTTTCAACTAGAACGAAAGGCAACATTCATATCGTTGTGTACAGGTTAAGTTTATCGCACGGATTTCTTTATGTACGCCATTGATGTAGGCGTTTACATAAACGCGACGTGTTTACAGGTGACAGGCAGGGATGTAGACTCGCTCTAACGCTACTGCTTCGTCTGTTGGAAAAAAAAAAATTAGGTGGCTGTGACATTATACTAATGACTGAGCAGAAAGTAATAGATAGTTGTAGTGAATATCGCTAATTTGTGTGTGTAATTTTTAGTCC